TGGAGCTCTAACATGCACTTCACAGACCACATGGAGCTACCAAGTGAGCAACGGACAAATCAGAAAGTTGGGCACTGTCAACCCAGGCTCTTCCACAGTCAAGACCATAAAGACAGAGAGTTGTTTTGTTTTGTGTTGCTGTAACAAAACACCTTATGAAATAAGGTAGTGTACTTGGCTTGCGATTCTGGTGGCCAGAGGATCCAAACAGCATGGTACCTGCATTTTGGCATGAGCCCCTGGCTGCTTCCTGACATGGTGGAGAAACAGAAGGGGAACCAGCCACATAGAACAAGGGTGAGCACCTGGAAGACACCATGAAGATAACTTGCTGCACAAGACCATCCCACCAGTGTCCCATGGTCTGGTCACCTCCTGCTAGGCCCCGGCTCTTACAGGTTCCACCTCATCACACTCTGGGGACCAAGCTCCCCGGACACTGGGCTCCCGGGCCTCTCCAGGAGCTTCCTCTGCCAGGCTTCCAGGGTCCATGTGGCTGCCTGCGGTGGGCTTTGGGCCACTTTCTCATTCTGCAGCCTGTTCAGGACACAAAGTCACTGTGCCCACCCCAGGACCAGCAGCTGGTTCTTGTTGGGGTGACCATCAAGGCTGAGCACGTTACACAGCTTTCTGCTCCCTGTTTGAGGACAGCCTGGGTGAGAGAGAGAGAGAGAGAGAGAGAGATTTAGAAGTTTATCTTCCTTAAGTCTTAAAGTTCAGTGTGCAAATTTTATTCTATTTATGAAGATGTTTGAGCAAAATAGTATAAGCTACCAATCACCTAGCCAAGATTTCCTCATTAAGACTTAAAATTTAGCCATAAAGAAGAATAAATCCTGTCATTTGCAGCAATATGGGTGGAACTGGAGGACACTATGTTAAACGAAATGTTAAGCCAGACACAAAATACTGCATGTTCTCGCTCATGCATAGAAGCTAAAAAAGAAAAAAATAACCTGAATTAGAATGGTGGTTACTAGAGGCTGGGAAGTCTGGAGGAGGGGAGGGTGGATAAAGGGAGGCTGGATATGACCAGTGCATGCTGCATGCATGTCTTGAGAAACCACACTGAGCCCCATTAATATATGCAATTAAAATGCACTAACAACAACGACAAACCCTGTGGAAACTGGGCGTGGTAGGGCATGCCTATAATCCTAGCACCTGGGAGGCTGAGGCGGGAAGATTATAAGTTTGAGGCAGGGCTACACAGTGAGACTCTGTCTCAAAACCAGCCAAACAAACAAACAAAATAAAAAACAACAAGAAGTTGCTGGAAAAATGTTAGTAGCATTTGAGATAAAGTAATTCTTTCCTTCCTTCTGACTGAACCCAGGACCTGGCACATGGTAGGCGAGTGCTGTACCACTGAACTGTACCCCTAGCCCAATGAAATGATTCTTAATGGTAAACAAGTAAATAAAGGAAAAATAATTAAGGGGTAAACTGCTTTTGGGAAGAATCATCTTTGTTGTGACTGGTTACAGCCAGAGATACAGGCCTACGTAAAAAGACTCTCTCATATGTGTGTGATAAACTTAAGTAAGTTTTCTAAATCTAAGGAATTCATCCCATAAAACTGATGAATATCTTAAAATTCTCCAAAGTGTATTAATCATGTTTATAAGATCTATATGATTTCAACTAAAAATCTCAGCTTTAATCCAGTTTTCAGCTACATGGTTTAAATTAAAATCACAAAGTTAACCTGTTAAAACCTAATATGCCACAGTCTCTTGAACACAAGTAACCTCAACAATCCTAATCCCATAGGTCACTTGAACTTGTCACCTGGAGAGTTCATTCTTGATTGCTGAAATTAGGGACAGACGCCCAGCCATTGCAGGGAAGACGTTGACATGGCACTCAGTGCAGATTGCTGTCCCACCCAGCCCAGCAGAGCCCAGGTGGATGCAGATACTCTGGAAGAGAATGCAGCCAGGTTCTGTGACACCAGGGTGGCTTTTCTCATACCAGCCCGTGGGGCTGGGTCCTTTCTGGCAGTTGCTCTGAGACAGACTCCAAATTACAGAATACACCACTGCAGCATGAAAATTATTTTAAGCTGAAAGCATGTGAGAGTCAACAGATGTGGGGTGAGGCTTTTTCCTGAACTCTCCTTATGTGCCTGAAAGTAGAATCTCTCTGAAGAACTCAGCTGTCCTGAATCCCAACCATACGAGCCACAGAACCAGGGAAGATGGGGTTATGGGGTTTTTTCAGTGGAAATAAGTCAGGGTTAGCATAAGAGATCACTTAAACAAACAGACATGAAACTGTCATCCCTTTGATCTCACTTTCTAGGGGTTTGTTTTTTCCCTTAGTTATTTGCTTCCCCATAAGCAATTTTCCTCTCTCCCCTTAGAATAGATATAAGACCCAAATTCTAACCACCTCTTTAAGTCTCATTTTTCTGTGTATTCCTATGTATTCCTGTGTATTTCTCTGGGGTATCTATCTACCTTGGGAGGTGTTATTGTTCTAGCTCTGAGGCCATGCCAACCACAGGTACAATTGAAGATTACATAGTTTGCCAGATAATATTACCCATGCATTCAAAGGAATCTTGTGAGACCGCTTCAAGGGAAGGTTGCCATTTTATGTCGCAGGTTTATCTACATGGAGCTTGTTGGGTGCATCTTCTGAGCTGCTTCTTCACATTTCCCATGACTCATTGCACCATGCCTAGTAGCAGGGTAGGATTTGTACTGCCTTTGCTTCGTTTCTGTGGACAGCAAAAAGCATCTGAAGTAAAACAGGATCAAAGTTTTGAAGGTAGTTATGTACGTGTATTAAATGAACGGAGGTGAGCCTCTGTGATCAGTGAATTTCGCTAGTTTTGGACCCAAGAGAGGAGCTAGGCTCCCTCTGCAGTAGTTTGAGAGGCCAGGATGCTTGAACAGAAGTCTTTTTTAGAACTCTTCCCAATCAGGATCCCAGGGATTAGGAACAAAGTAAGAACTTCAGCCTTATGCCATTATGTTACAGATGTGAAAACCACTATGCCTTTCAACTTTGTAGGACTGCCTAAATCTCAGTGTCTCCCCATGTCTCAAGGAGAATATTTTGCCTTCCAATGAAGCTTTCTATAAATCAATTATATGAAAGTCCTTAATCAGGGATTACATAGCCAAGGTAATTTCTAGAAGGAAGTAGACGTTACTTACTATGTATAGGATGTTTTAAAAGGGGAGGAGCAAAAAGTGTGTTTCGTGCCAGTGGGAACTTAGGGGTTTTTGATCATTTAATTTACCCTGAAGTTGTGAAGTATTTTGTCTTGAAATGGTGGAGACAGTGTGGTTGCCTTCTTGATATGCAGGTGATATGCAGGAATTTTCAGGTGTTGAGGGTTCTTGGTCCACTCTGAGATAGAAATCAAAGTGGACTCAAGCAGCAAAGGTCAGAAAGATTTTTTTGTAGAGAAGGGAAAGGCTGCATGGGGGCATGCAGCAGACCAGGTTGGAAATTGGGTTTTATAGCTTTTTTTTTTAAATTGACTGTCCCGTCCTGCAGGACACATCAGCGTGGGTAGCGAACCTAGAAGGGGAAGAATGAAGGGACAAGAGACACGAAGGAGACAGCAAGACAGGAGTTCTGATCAAGCTGCAAAATTTTATTGTTCACACAGGGGTATTTATGTGCTGAGGGAGTGAGGGTATGAGGAGGTGCAGGCTGGTTGGCTGGTTCTGCTATAGGGTGCCCGTTCGCGCCGGCGGCAAGGTAAACTCCCGGAAGAGAAGCAGGGATGGCGCCATCTTGTGCTGGAGATGGAGAAGTTGGGACAAACAACCGCAAAATGTTCCAGGGCAAGGTCAAGACAGAATGGCTCACAAAGGGAGCCTTGTCTCTGACAATTGACAGAGGGCAGAGGTGTCTCTCTGGTGCAAACAGATGTTTCCTGGAAAGGAGAAGTGTCTCCCTGGCTAATTACCACCTTAGAGACCTCCTGCAGTCTGCCCTTCATTCTGAAAAAGTATTTGAAGCTTTTTCCATGTAAAATAATGATTTTAGTTCAGTTTAAATGAAACCAGTCAAGGACACTTCACACTTTAGGCGGCCTAAGCTTCCTGTGAAATGAGAAAGAAGTTAGCATTGATTGCAGAAATCTGATTAGAACAGATCCGTCTGTAAATGAGGTGACTTTTGGAATCTGTTCCATTTTAAAACCATCAGCATGTGTCCAGCCCTGTGCAAGTCAAGAGGAATAAACAGGATGAAGCCTGTTCTGGGACTTTACATGCTAGGCTGTAGTGGATAATAAACATACAGTAAAATAGGTTATTGTAAGAAGGGCTCTGAAGGAAGTCAATGCCTTGTCCACATGTGCACGGGGTAGACCTCTGAGACATTGTGATGTCACAGCTAGATTCTCGCTGTGTTGAGCCAAGACGGGGTGGGGATGCCTCCCCAGGCCAATGTAAAGGGCCATCTCAGATTCTAACCCTCTGTGTCAGGCCCAGGACCCCTCCTGCAGACCCCTCCTGATGCTCTGGTAGCCCCAGGTAAGGGAGTGGTGAATCATGAACCATGGAACTGGGAGTTTAGAGGAAATGGCAGCATTGTCTAGTAAATAACTGTAATGTACACTCTTTTGCCTGCACCCTAATTAGCCCTGATTTGCAGGTGAGTTGCTTTTCTTTTAGAAGCAGTTCAGCCAGGGGGAGAAGACTATCTCTGGCTGTCAGCTTGGAAGAGGAGAAGCTGCCAGACCTGGACTAGCCCTGGGAACATCCCCGGAAGCCCCACTGTCACACCATACCCAATGGGTTGCTGCCCCTAGGTCTGAGCTCCAACCCCACCTCGCTGTGGAGGAGGGCCCAGTAGAAGGCGTTTGTGGCCTCCTCTAAGGGAATGGAGTTTGGGTCCTGTCTCTGTGGGAAAAGGCTCTTCACTGCAGGGCATGGAGCCCAACTGGGCTGAGTCTTACAAAATGTTCTGTTTCCTAAACAAACGTGTCATAAAGAAAGGGTGGGCCGGGCAGGCACTGATGACAAGGTAAACTAGGGAAGAAGCTGCCAGAGGCTTTACTCCCTTGACTGTAGCTTAGTCTACTACCTGTCCCTGTTGCATGTCATGTCTATACTAGGTATTTGGGCTCCAAGGCTCCTTTTTATGTCGCTAGAGTTGTGGTTGTTGGTCCAGGGATTTCCCATTCCGAGTAGGACCCAGGACTCGGTCCAGCTGACCTCCGAAGCACCTGGGCCAACTGAGCCCTGGTCCTCACACTCCTTGGACGGCCTTCCTGACATGCGGCAGATGTTTACACCCCCAGAAGACCAGGGGGACTTTGATCATCTAGGGTCATCTGCTCCCTCGCAGGTGTTTGCCCCACCTCGTTTATTGACTGACGGTTTGCTTCAGTTCCTAGACCAGGATTCTGGTAGGCAGCCGTCTCCAGAGCCAGATCCATTTGCTGTTGCACATCAGGAGGTGAGTGACGAGCTAAACCTGCCTGAGACCCCCAGAAGCGGTGCCGATGCCCAATAGGGAACAGAATCAGGGCCCCGTGTTAGGGTATGAGGCTGGCCACCTTCTGAGAGGACAAAGGACACTCGAGACAAAGGAAGTCACAAGGCGAGGTTTATTTTCTAGCTAGCTAGGGTCCGAGCATCTGCCTGACGCAGCAGGTTTCAACAAGGACCCTGAGAGCAAAGTTTAAGCAGGTCTTACACTCTTTAAAGCATCAATCATCGTCACATAGGAATTCCTCATGCCCCTGGGGTCACATTTTCCTGTTCTTGCCCACATCCTGGTGGTGGGGTAATATTATTTATTGGGAACTGGGGAAACACCAGAGGTTTACTTATCAGGTTACAAGGAATGCGTTCTCCCATAAATTAGGGGCTAGTAGTGGAATAGAAACCTAAGGTTTAGATAAGAACAGCAGGGGAGTCCTGTTTTGGAAAGTTTATTTACAAGTGGAGACAAAGAAAGGCAGGAATGGGTGCTTATCTCTGCATGGTGCCTTTCATCTCAGTCCCGAACTTTTGCATGGCTCTAATGGGCAATTCCTCACAGCTCTGTCCGAGGTTACAGCTTTTAATTGACGGTTTACCATGTTCTACAACCCTGTTTCAAGGCTATCTTCCTCTTCACGAGGTTACCCAAGGGTCATGCCAGTTATAGCTGAATTTTAGGCTAGGTGGGCTGCAAGTTAAAGTACCCAACAATTTCACAGTGAGTTGCTTTTCTTATAGAAGCAGTTCAGCCAGGGGGAGAAGACTATCTCTGGGTGTCAGCTTGGAAGAGGAGAAGCTGCCAGAACTGGACTAGCCCTGAGAATATCCCCAGAGGCCCCACTGTCACACCATACCCAATGGGTTGCTGCCCCTAGGTCTGAGCTCCAACCCCACCTCACTGTGGGGGAGGGGCCCTGTACAAGGCTTTTGCGCCTCCTCTAGGGGAATGGAGTTTGGGTCCTGTCTCTGTGGGAAAAGGCTCTTCACTGCAGGGCATGGAGCCCAACTGGGCTGAGTCTTACAAAATTTTCTGTTTCCTAAACAAAAAGGTCATAAAGAAAGGGTGGGGCCGGGCAGGCACTGTTGCCAAGGTGAGCTAGGGAAAAAGCTGCCAGAGGCTTTACTCCCTTGACTCTCGTTTAGTCTATTACATGTCCATGTTGCATGTCATGCCCCCTCTAATGATTTGGGCCCCAAGGCTCCTTTTTATGTCGCTAGAGTTGTGGTTGTTGGTCCAGGGATTTCCCATTCCGAGTAGGACCCAGGACTTGGTCCAGCTGACCTCCAAAGCACCTGGGCCAACTGAGCCCTGGTCCATACACTCCTTGGACCGCCTTCCTGGCTTGCAGCAGATGTTCACACCCCCCCCCCCGGCCGACCCGGCGGGGGGCTTTGATTACCTGGGGTCATCTGCTCCCTCACAGGTGTTTGCCCCACCTCATTTATTGACTGACGGTTTGCTTCAGTTCCTAGATCAGGATTCTGGTAGGCAGCCGTCTCCAGAGCCAGATCCATTTGCTGCTGCACATCAGGAGCTGAGTGACGAGCTAAACCTGCCTGAGAGACGCCCAGAAGCGGTGCCGATGCCCAATAGGGAACAGAATCAGGGCCCCACTCTGCCTCCTCCACTTCAAAGTAAGACTCAGACTGTCAGCTTAGATCAGGCTTCAGAGAGCCAAACATTTGATATACCTCTTCCACCTCTTGATCGTCAGATTTCAAAAGTAGCAAAGTTTATTGTTTCACGCTGGAAACTGAAGAAGGATGCTGCTCAACATCAGAGACTTGATGAGACTGTGGCTGGAACTCCACACCAATTTGCAAACCTTCAGCCAGTTCCAGCTCCAGAGGTGACAGTTCAACCTCCAGCTCAGGATCAAGGTCAACAGGATACCTCGCCCAGCGTTACGGGTAAGCCTGTGGATGTGGAAATCACCTTAAGTCCAGAGCCTACCCGGGAGGCTGCATCTTCTCCAACTCAGCCTTCAGAGTTTGCTGAAGGGGCAGAACCTTCTCTCAGTGAGAAGGAACAAGCAGCTGAGCCATCTGTGTCTCCTGGGGAGGCTCAGCCTTCTGGAATTCACATGGCTGCTCCAGCCCAGGCCTCAGAGCATGCTGAGGAGTCTGAACCTCCTCCACCCCAGCAGGAAGAACCGGCTCAGTCCTCAGTGTCCTCCGAACAGTCTGAAGCTTTGAAAACCCAGCATGAGATTATAACTCAGAAGCCAGAACCCTTAGAAAAGGATGAACTTTCTCCAGTCAGTCAAGGGGCTACAGCTCAGCCAGAAGAGCTTCCTGAGGAACCTTCTCCAAGCCAGCAGGAGAGCTCAGTTCCTCCTGTAATGCCCCCTGTGAATACTGAACTTTCACCAATTCAGCCACAACTCCCAACTCAGTCTCCAGAATCCTCTGAGGAGGTTAGTGATCTTCCTCCATTGGGAGATAGCATATCATTTTCACCTCAAGATCTAGAAATAATGTTTAGAAAGCAGCATCCAAATTTGCAAGAAACCACAGATAAACATGTGGATATGGAGATTACCATGACTCCACAGACCACTGTGGAGTTTGAACCCATTCCAGTCCAGCAGGACACCCAAAACCCTACAGATGCCACTGAACAACTTGAATTTTCTCCGACCCAGTCTGGTTCCCCTTCCCAGACTCTAAAATTCCTGGAAAATATCGAATCTTTTCCAGGCCAGCCAGAACCCACAGCTCAGCCTTCTCCAGCCCGACCAGAGCCCATAGCTCTGCCTTCTCCAGCCCAGCCAGAGCCCATAGCTCTGCCTTCTCCGGCCCAGCCAGAGCCCACAGCTCTGCCTTCTCCAGCCCAGCCAGAGCCCACAGCTCAGCCTTCTCTGGCCCAGCCAGAGCCCATAGCTCTGCCTTCTCCGGCCCAGCCACATCCCATGGTTCAGACTTCTCCAGGCCAGCCACAGCCCACAGCTCAACCTCCAGTGCCTTATGAGATGACAGTTCCAATACTAAGTCAGGATGAATCTCAGTATTCAATGTCCAGTGTCACAATTCAACCTTTGGATCTGGAGCTCCCCATAACCTCCAAACCCACTACAAAGGTTAAAAATTCTCCACCTGTGAAGAAGACTAGAACTCCTCCTCCAAAGCCCCCTCAAGTGACACTTCCACATCCAGTCCAGGTACAGGCTCAGCATCCAGGTCTGACTGAAGGCACAATTCAACCTGTGGATCTCCAACTTAGCATAACTGTACAACCTATTACTGAAGATGAGCCTTCTCCAGCCATGCAAGAGACCCCAGTTCAGCTTACAGAGCCCCCTATGGAGGTTGTACCTCAATCCCCAGTACAACAGGAGATGACAGTTCCGATACCAGGTTATTAACCATAACTACAGAAAGCACCACAGGAGCTGACCTTTCTCCCGTTGTGCAGGAGACCTCAACTCAGCCTCCAGAGCCACCTGAGCACCCTGAGGTGACACTTCCACATCCAGTCCAGAATCAGGCTCAGCATCCCAACCTGAATGAAGTCACAGTTCAACCTTTAGCTCTAGGAGTTCCCTTAACTTCAGAGTCCAAACAGTCTACTACTCTGAAGAAGACAACAGCTCCTCCCCCAAAGGTGGAGGTGACACTTCCACAAGTCAAGGTTAAGACTTTAAAGCTGGAGCTTACCAAATCTTCACAACCTACCACAGAGGTTAAACGTTCATCTATGCAGGAAACCTCAACTCAGCCTCCAAAGCCAGCTGCAGAGACTAAAATTCAGCCTTCAACATCAGGTCAAGATCAGGCTCAGCGTCCAACGTTGGCAGTTACAGAGGCAAATAACACTATAACTCCTCCTCCACAGCACCCTGAGGTGACACCTCCACATTCAGAACAGCTTCAGTCTGGTCTGGAACGTACCACTATTGCACATTCTGTAAATCCCACCACAGAAAGTGCTCTAACTGTGCAAACGGAACCGAATGCCACCCCGTACACCAACATATGTGAGCTCTGTACCTGTCGAGATGAGTCACTGTTGTGTGTTGGTCTCAGCCCAACGCAGAAGCTCCGCCGAGTGCCTGTGCCGAAGCCCAACACCTACAAGAAGGTCCTCACCACCCTGTAAGATCCACCTTTCCTCCCTTGTGCTCTGCACTCTGCCTGCATGGCAGCCTTTTCCTCAAGGTCTTCCTGGGCCTTCCTCATCTCCCCAACCCACACGGACTGTCTGCTTTTACCTTTTGCTTATCAACTTTTCCTTGTCGGCATTCTTCTACCGTGGTTCCCTTCCCTGTTCTTTAACTCGCAATTGCCCTTTCTCTTTTTCCTTATCCACTTTTATTCGGCTGCTTCATATCATTGCTGAGCCTTTGCTCTCCCGGTTTTGTTCCACCCTCTTTACAACTCATTTCTTTAGTGAGGAGTGAGGATACAACAAAGTGATTAAGAATACATCTGGAACTAGACTACCTGGGTTTCATTTATTAACTTTGTAAGCCTGAGGAAATTATTTAGCTCTGTGACTCAGTTTCCTCATCTGTGAGATGGGAATTATGATAATTACCATTTCATAGGATTGTTGTATGATTTAGATGAATGAGTGCATGTAATACTTACCTGAATACCTAGCACATATATGAATGTTAACTATTAATAGTAATATTCAGTCCCTCAGTTATGTCCAAAACTCATCTTTGTCCTTAGATTTTCTATATATTGTGTCCATTTTGTGCCCAACCCAGGTCTAAGTTTTGTGGGAGTCACAGAATTATGGCATTGTCTCTGGAACATGAAAATGATAGATGTAAAGAAAGGAAAAAAGGCAAAAAAGCGGAGATGGTATATAATGAAATGCTAAAAGAGAATCAGATACTAGCAGCTGTAATTCTTCAGAATCTGTAATCGCTGAGTTGTGGAGGTTATGGAAAACTGTAGGATAAACTGAAACGTTACCTGGAGCTTAGAGAGTAATTGTTAAATAGACAAAAAACATCCTAGGCAAAGGCGTAGCTGCAGCAGTAACCAGGCTTTAGTAGAACAGTCTGCCTGCAAAGAATTGGGTTAGGAAGCAATGAAAGATATTATAAAAGACCTTGAATATGAACTGTAGGGTTTGAAAGTTACAGTGAATGTGGAGAGTCACTAAATGTTTCCAAGGAAGAGCGGCAAATGATTAAAGCAGGCGGATTTGTTGTTTGGTTTGATTTTGGAGATAAAGTCTTGCTATATATAGTCGAGGCTGTCCTGGAACTTGTTAAGTAGCTCAGGCTGGCCTTGAACTCACTCTCCTCCTACCTCAGCCTCCCAAGCACTGTAAACAAACCATGATTCAAGAGAATTATTTTACAATCCCTACTTAGGGTGATCTAGAGGGGAAAGGTTAATTCAAAGAGACTACCTAGAAATTGCTAGCAAAGTGGAGAGGTTAAGTACGAAGGGAGTAAGTCAGAGTTTGTGATGAGAATAGACAGAAAATCCTGGGATTCCCTACATAGAAAGTGCACAGAGGATTTAGTGACTGATGAAAGAGTTGGGGCTCGGACTAAAGAGTTGAGAAAAATCAAACATGACTCCATAGTTTCTGTCCTGTTAGGATATGGATACCATGTGGAAACACAGCATTCCAGAAGGAGAGCCAGTTGGAGGGAATTGAGTTCAGTTTTAGGTCCTTTTACTGGTAAGAAATTAGAAAGCTTGTGGTTGAGTGGAAATGTCCACTAGGCAGATGAGCTGGCTTCTTCTCTCCACCTCCAGAGAAAGTGTATGTAAACTGAATAGGAGAGTGTTGCTGAGGGGTAAGGACAGAATTAAAGGTAAATGTTCAGAGGTATCCAGAGTGAAACTGAACATAAGGTATTGAATAGCTTCTTTTTGGCAGAGGCTGGGGTTTGAACTCAGGGCTTCACGTGTGCAAAGCAGGCGCTCTACTGCTTGAGCCACATCTTCAGTCCATTTTACTCTTTTTATTTTGATGATGGGGTCTCATGAACTATTTGCCTGGGTTGGCTTTGAAACCATGATCCTCCTGATCTCAGCTTCCCAAGTAGCTAGCATTAAAGGCATGAGCCACTGGAGCCTGGTTTAACAGCTTCTTTTAATCATGTGTTACCCGAGGATACATTCCCACTTTTAAAAAAAGTCTCAGAAGCTGGTGTGGTGGCTCACATGTTTAATCCCGCCACTCCAGAGGCTGAAATAGGAGAGTCTGAACTTGGAGGCCAGTCTTGACTACATAGCAAGACTGTCTCCAAAATACAAATGGTCAGGGATGTAGCTGCGTGGTAGAGCACTTGCCTAGCATTTTCAGATTGCCTGTGTTCAATCCCCAGCACCTCTAAGGGTCAAAGAAGTATATAGGAAAAATATGAAAGTATGCAGCCCCTCTCATACCACTCTTCCATGCCTACCGCCCATAAGATAACCTCTGTTATACACCCCTGTGTGTCCTTCCTTCTTCTTTCTCTCCTTTGCAGTTTCTCCCTAATGAGGTAATACTTCCATTCTTTCTCAGATTTGTGCTTTCCCTTATTCAGCACAGCGCTTTCCACATCATCACATGAATTTCCCTCATTTCTACTTGTCCTCACCCTTCAGGGTTGCACTTCCTTCTTTCTATGTGCTCAACCTTCCTAAGATCATTTAGGCAAAGCTTTGGTGTTACCTGGCAGAGTTTCTTTATTCTTATTTGCTAATAATGATAAAAATTATTGCCCATTGTCCTGTGAATTATGTATCCTTTTCTCACTGATTGGTAGGAGTCAGTTTAAACACACATCATTTTGAGAAAAACACTTAAATCCAAAGTAATTGACTTGCATTATATATGTAAGAGATTGGACAGTTGGGAGTTAAGCTTCTGATGAGAGGCCTCATCATTCATGCCACTCTTCCCACTTTATTTCTTTATTAATTGCAATCTGAAAAACTGGGAGTTCTGGACGTTAGAAAGCTGGTATGTTTTCCTGTATTTGAATATCCCCTCCCCCAGGTTGCAATGATTCTTTCACTTATTCTGCTCATTATTTTCCTACTTATTCAAGGTTATAAACTGTCTCTTCACAGAAATTTCCATGGAAACGCTATTGATTACATTGATAAAAATACATGGAAAGCCTATCGTTGGACTGAGAAACTGTGAGTATTTTCTTTCCAAATATGAATACAAAAACTGCATTGTAAGAGCCTCCTTGGTTCAGAATTTTGAGGTCAGTATCTCTGAGCAAATGTATTTCCCCTCCACATCCTACATTGACCTCTATTGATGGAAATTATGTAGTTATTTTAAACATCAAATTTTATAGGGACTGGGGGTTATAGCTCAGTGGTAGAGCACTTGTCTTTCATGTTAGCCAAAATGAAAATAAAATACAAACTTTCATGGTTCCTCTTTGAAATAAGAAACAATTTAAATTGATTTTCCATTGTACAAATGAAATAACAGGTACAGTGAAAACTCTCCTTCTCATAATCCCCCACTATTGAGGTAATGACTACTCTGAATTTGTTACCTATCCTTCCATATCTTTTCCCATGCATATATACATATTTACACACAGCAGATTATTTTGTGTGATTTTCATATCTCTTTTTACATAAATGCTAACATCCTGCCTCTTGAGTCTTTCTCTTCACTATGTCATGTCTCTTTCCTTCCCTGTACATAGAAGTTTCCCTATTAATTTAAACTCCTGCACAATATTCCGTAGTATGGACACATCATAGTTCATTTCATAATCCCTTATTTTTTTTAGAGCACGTCAGGTTCTCCTGTTGCACTCATAGCTACAGTGAACAACCCTGTACATACTTCTTTGTGAGCATGGACAAGTATTGCTGTACAATAGGGATCTAGGAATGGGATGGTTAAGGTGAAGACTATTATAGACAGGGAATTTTAATTGCCCTCCAAAAAGTGGTGCCAACTTACACACCAGGGAACAGAATATGACAGTACCCATTTCCCCATACCTTTCATCACTCGATACTCTCTCTCTTTTTGATGAATTTTGATCCAGCGATAACCTTTCATCTTCCAGAATTCTCAGTGAAAATCGCCTGACTGAATTACGTAAGGATTCATTTGAAGGCCTGCTGTCCCTCGAGTATTTGTAAGTTAGTCAGTTGATCATATTTATTTGTGAGTTACTATCTATGAAATGTATAAAGGGTTCAAATGAGATAATTTCTGAAATCTCCAGCAAAAAAAATTCTGCACTTGTGTAAGTCTGTGTGGGTCTCAGACCATCTCTGGCATTAAATACTCCCTATACATTTTCAGATTTCTAAAAATTATATAGATAAGAGAGATGTAAAAACAAAATACTCCACTTACAGCAGAAAACGGGCAATAAGGCCTGAGCAATTATGGTGCTCATATGAACCTTATTTTATAAGTGTTCCTATGCCATATACTTCTTGTATTTATATTTAGTCTACAGCCCATGGGTCAAATCTAATCCACATGCTTTTGTGTAGCTCATAAGTTAAGAATTGGGTTTTTTGTTGTTGTTGTTTTTCTTTTTACGTTTTTAAGGAGCTTTTATGAGTCACTTTTTTGGTCACTGTAACCAAATGCCTGGTAAAGGAGCAAAGACACATTTTGGCTCAGTTGAGCGGTTTCGGTCTGTACCTGCACTCTCCATTGTTTCGGGGCCTCTGGGAGGCAAAGGTGTGGAGGGACAAGGCTGCTAACCTCACGGCAGCCAGGAAGCAGCAAGAGAGAAGAAAGAGGGTCTTGGTCAAAGGCATGCTCCTAGCGACCTGCGCCTTCCACCTTAGCCTCACTTTCTAATCGCTCATTCAGCTGTGAGCTTCTCAGTGGGTGAATCCATCAATGAAGTCAGTGTCCTGATGATTCAGTCACCTCTCACACCACCTGTTGGTGACCAAGTCTTTAACATGTGAGCCATTTGGGGGGGCACTTCATATCCAAACTTAGAAGGGTTATAAAAAAAAAAAGAAGAAGAGAACTCAGGACCGTGCACTTATAGACAGGAACTCCACCACTTGAGCATGACTCTAGCCCTTGTTATACCCATAATAAAAGTATCCCTCAAGATCTACAGTGAATGTTTTATTTATGAAAATCACGAAGGTGAGATTCTTAGGTGGGAGCAGGATTAGGGGGCTCTAGAAAGTTCAAATACAAATCCAAAGTTTAGAGTTTAGAAAAAATTATGTTTTCAATATTATTGAGTCTAAATTCTATCTATTCATGCTAATTAGATACCTAATAGCTAATCAATGCAATGTTTTCTTTTACTTTTCCTAGAGATTTATCCTGCAATAAAATACAGTATATTGAAAGACGGACATTTGAATCACTACCTTTTTTGAAATTCGTGTAAGTTACTTCATTATGCCTGGAATCTTGCTACTCATTTTGAAAGATAATTAAAATTTTGCTAGTAGAAAGTTACTAAAAATTAATTAGCAGGTTCTTTAGTCTGCACCAAAGATGACAGTGAGAATCATTACAGGTCAGAGTGAACAGTCCAGAGCAGTGCTTCTCCATCAGTGTGACTTTACCCCCAGGTGACACCTGGCAGCTGTGGATATGCTATTGGCACCTAGTGGGCAGACAATAGGGATGCTACTGAATATCCTGCAATGGACACAGAATTGTCCATAAATGACAAATGTCAAAGAAATGTCCAAAATGTCAATAGCACTGAAGTTGTGAAACCCTGTTGTAGAGAAATAAAGATCACTTAACACAAGTAATCATTGAGCATTCACTCTTTTGTATCTAATGCACTGCATTTGTAAATGTTAAAGTATAAATCATAAGCCAGTATCATCCATAGTGAGATTCCTTTAAGGTATGTGAAAAGTATTGATGTTATAATTCATCATATGTAAGTTAGAGTCACTGCCAATGATAAGTGTTCTGAAAGAATATCTTTTTCCTCTCCTTCTTTGGCATTTTTTTTTTTGTAGAAATCTTGGTTGCAATTTAATCACTGAATTGAACTTTGGAACATTTCAAGCATGGCATGGAATGCAGTTTTTACACCAAGTGTAAGTGGAATAGAAGACAAACATGTTTCAAACTTATTTGTGTCTTAAAAAAAAAAAACTCATAACATTACTGTTAGCTACGTGTAAGCCCTGTACAAATTCTGTGAATAGTACGTCTTGATGCATTCCATTTTTTCAAATAAGGAAACTAACGTACAACAGGTAAGAGCCTTGTGTGACTTACATATGACATGCTCTGCTTTCCCTAGTACTGATCTTTGGCAGGGGCACTGGAGACATCATGCAAGTAACACTCAAATTGGCACAGTCGTGGTCCCCCGATGGTGCTGCTCTGACATGTGAATGGTCCTTGAAGTTTCACTCACAAGCTGAACACTGATTCCTTCTCACATGCAGAGTTCCTAACTGCTTAAATGTTTGCAATGTATAGCTGCTTACAGAGCGCCAAGTTTAACACAGAATCCTCCAGCAAGCAAATGGGGTGGGTGCTTTCTCAATGTCAGTTTCTTCTAACTGACAAATCAAAAGAATTCTAAAAACCTGCCATAGGGCACCTCTCCCCTCAGAACATTATTTTTCAAGAAAAAGATGGTGCTGGCAGAGTGGCTCATATAATAAGAGCACCTGTCTAGCAAGTGTGAGGCCCTGAGTTCAAACCCTGGTCCCACCAAAAAAGAAAGAAAAAGATGGTGTTTGTATTAAGCTTTATGGTGAAAAATATTAATAGGAATATACACTGCTCTAGCCTGACTCCATATACCTTTTTTTTCCTTACTACCTTCAACAAGAAATGTGGAGTTTAATATCTTTTCAGCTCAAAAATTCTATGATGTGCTGGGTGCCATAACCCATGCCTGTAATCCTAGCTACTCACAAGCATAAATGGGATGATCACAGTACAGTTCATGCCTGGGCATAAACATGAGACCTCATTGGAAAAATAACTAAAGTAAAAAGGGTTGGGGATTGGCTCAAGTAGTAGAGCACCTGCCTAGCAAGCACAAGGCCCTGAGTTCAATCCCCACTACCAAAAAATAATAACAGTAAAAGTTTTAAAAACTCTGCTGTTCACAAGCACACATTTGTAATCCCAGCACTTGTGAGGCCTAGGCAGAAGGATCTCAAGTTCAAGGCTACCCTGGACTACATAGGAAGACCTGTTTAAAAAAACAAAAAAAAGCAAAATAAAACCTGTGATGTTGAAGAGCCTGAAGGTCATCTGAGACTCCAGAAGGACAAATTTCACCTTGAGTCTCCAAACCCAACTTTGGGAAAGATCATCCACCTGCCTCGTGCATCAGAAATCCAGGTTCCCAAGTTCCCTTCTGGTTGGAGGGAGGGTTGAGATTTGCCTGGAGGTGGATTAACTGCTCTTACAGATGGTCCTGTGTAGCAGCCTCCTTTATCCCTTCACTAATTTGCTGATGCCTATTTGGGGAAAGAACCCTAGGGGGTCTTTGCTTTCCAGTCAAAGTAGGGATGGGTATCGGTTAGTTAAGACTCATAAAGGAGGATGCACCAACTTGTTATTTCTAGTTACTGTGTTACTTCAGAGGAAAGACATTTGTTTCCTGGTGATGAGAAAATCAGAAGAGATAGCACATGGCTCAAATAGTACAGTGACTGCTTACCAAGCACAAGGCCCTGAGTTCAAATCCCAGTGTTGACTGGTATTAGATTTACCCCTGGGTGCCAGGTAATTACAACCCAGTAAATCTCTTGAGTAAAGCCCTCCATGTTACTTGAAAAACAATAACCCAACAAGTTAGCAACATGTTAGGGCCCAAATCCACCATAAAGGGGAGCCAAAAAGCTCATTAGCAAACCACCATTCTTCGAATGGTCATAGTAATCCTATCTCTGTTTCAGATGAAATCAGGAATGAAACACAGAACACCAGTAGTGGTTAAGTGTAATTTTCCCCCAACTTTAAGGTGCTTCTCCTTCATTCTCCTACAGAGGTCCAGACTGATAGCTTAGTTTTTAAAATTCTTTTAGTTGCTTCATTGGTTCTGACAACACAAGTGCCACTATTTTAGAAAAACTGAAGGATTCTACCAAGTAGAAAGGATATACCTTATTGGATAGAGCATTTTCACAGGGCTTGTCTGCCTCTTCAGGATTGTGCCAAGATCACAAAGCACTAAGAGAGACAAAGAGGGAAATCCAGGCTTTATTCCTGTTGAACTACTTGTTCCACTATAGAGAATATCCACAAGCAGGAGCGGCCACACTACGAAGGCAAACTGAGCTGCAGTCTCACCAAACACCCTGTTGCTTCCTCCCAGACCGCTAGCATTGCTTCCTACAGATAGCTTAGGTGCCTAAAAATTGGCACGCTGCAGGCTGCGGTCATCGCTTTTGATTTGTACTGGAATTCCCGGCAGCTTCTCAAGGTTGAGAGAGGGCAAATCACTAAAGATGAAAATAACAGCTCGGGTCTGTCCTTTGGGATGATTTAGGTTGTTGCTTAATTTGTAAATGTT